CAACAAGTGCGTTTTTCCGCGTGTCTTTTTCTAGGGGGCTGGTTGAGATGTTGTTCTCGAAGGTTTTACAGAGTGTGGCCATGGACCAATTAAGTAAAGAGTGCTGATTTAATTGTCACCACAATCTGTATAGGGATATACTGTACTAGTATTCTGACCTGTAATTAAAAAGAAATTCAATAAAAGGTAAACTTAAAGGCAGGGTAGGCGATTTTTTCAAGAGACGTTTTTTTTTGTTGTTATGCTGGTTGAAAGTCTCCACATCCTGATAGCAATCACTTTTTTAAGTGGTCTAAATGTATTGGAAGGCAACACATTTATTTTTTTAACACATGTATTTTTTGCACACTGTAAAAATGCCCGAAATTTACCATAAAGAAATAGCGTTGCAACATTTTAAGTTTTACAGACTTCACTCAAATTTACAGTAAAAAAAAAACGTATTTCATCATCTGATATAATGTTATCTTACCATCATATTGGAGTACTAGTATCTGTTTTGTACCATTGTAATACACCGACAACCAACAATCACAATGATGATTAGCATCACATGATGGATCAAAGCTCATCAAAAGCAGCTTTTCCACAAGCTGAGAAAGTCAAATCTAATATATAGTAGGTGCACAGTGTCATTCACACAAACACTAAAAACCATCATGGTAACACATGACATTTTTAAAATACAATAAACATTAATTTAACAACATTAAATTAAACATTAAACCCTAATGTAAATAACTGATTAGAAAAAAACTAAACTATGAAGAAACAGCAATTTCAACAAAAATACAAAAAATGTGTAGTGTCACGCAGGGAATTTTGGGGATGTCAATTTACGTTTTTTTCACTGTAAATTATAAAATGATTTGTTATTTTTCACGTCCAAAAACCAAAAATTTAACGGTATTGTACTGTAAAATGTACAGTTAGATCTATCACAGTTATTCACTTTCTGTTAACCAATTAACAGTTTTTCACCATAGCATTTTTACAGTCTTTTGCCGGATAACTTTTTACAGTGTACACTGTAAAAAATAAAACGGTAATTTTTACGGTAAAAAAACGGCAGCTGTGGTTGCCAGAACTTTACCGTTAAAAATATGGTAGCAACGTTATTGGTTTTACAGTCTTAACTTAAAATATACTGTAATAAACCGTATTACATTATCTGATATAATGTTAATTTACCAACCTATTGAAGTATTGATATCTGTTTTGTACATTTGTAATACACTGCCAACCATCAATCATCGCTGCAGTGATGAGAGTCACATGATCAATCAAAGCTCATCACAGTCTTTCACAAGAAAGTTAATACTCATATTAAGAAGCTGCACAGTGTCATTCACACAAACATTAAACACCATCATGGTAACACACATGAAATTAAAAAAATGCAATAAACATTAATTTAACAACATTAATTGTAACATAGAACCCGATTAGAAGAAAAAAAAGAAAACTATGAGAAAACATAGTTATTTCAACAAAAATACATAAAATGTGAAGTGTCACACAGGGAATTGTGGGAATGTCAATTTATGGTTTTTCACTGTAAATTATACAATAAGTTGTTCTTTTTCACTTTCAAAAACTGTCAATTTAATGGTATTTTACAGTAAAATTACATTAAATGTACCATGAGATCTATCACAGTTATTTACCGTATAGTACGGAAACTTTCTGTTAACCAATTAACAGTTTTGCATTTTTACAGTCTTTTACCGTCAAAATCACGATACTTTTTTACAGTGTAGGACTATAAAATGTTCGTCCAATCATTGGATTCGGTCTGAACGCAATGATACGATGTCCTACCTGCCTGTCAGCGTATTTCCATACCTCCGCGCACATGCTCGCGCAGACATCGCACGTCATCAGCGTGTTTCTGCTATGCAGAGTTAGGCCGTGTGTCCACCAAACCGTTTTTCCACGCGCCTGGCGTATGTTTTCAATTGTTTTAAATGGGAGCGCCGCGTTTTTTAAATGCCATGAGCGCAACGAGGCGCTGAGTGTTTTTTTCACGCTGAAGCGCCAAGCGCCCGGCGTTTTTTACTGGTCGCCGAGAGTTGAAAAATTTTCAACTTTGGATAAAACTCATCATCACTGTCACTTTTTACCCAGCTGTCCAATCACAGTGGAGGAGGGGCGGGGCTAATACCACACCGACCAACTGTCACAACATTCTTCTGTACAACGAAATCATCCAGCAGAGCTAACCGAACAAAATGGATGAAAAATGTATTTTTAGTATGAAAAAAATGATCTGCGAAATCAGTTACAAGTAAACTGCTGCGGATATTCTGTATCATAGCAACGAAACGTCTCAATGGAAAAAACGCTGTCCTGCCAAAACGCTCTCAAGCGCCCACAGCTAGGCGTCTTCAGCTGGCTAAAAACGCTTTGGTGGACACACGGCCTTAGACCGACGTCAGTCACCGAGCAGCGCCACCGAAACAGCAGCCATAAGCCCCAATTCAGCCCCAATTCAGAGGCTGCATCCTTCAAAGGATGATTGCGTCACTGTGGCGCGACGAAGGCGGCCCCAATCCGAAGGCTCCTCCAAATGCGGATTTCGTTTCCTGTGAAACCAAGAGAAATTTCTTTTTTTAGAAAAATTGCCGAATTACACTTTAAAACGCAAGTACTGGGTTTCAGCTTACTCAAATATCTACAAATGTAAAAATAAATATAAAACTTTAAAGCGGTTCAAATGTTGACTTATATCTTACTAAGATGTGATTATATATTGTTTATATAATCTAGTTTATACTCTTTATAATATACAGAAATGTTTGCCTTTGAATTGGGACACAGCCATAGTTCCTCCTGAACCAAAAAAACGAGCTTATGCTGCGTTTACACCATACAGTAACTACTGTAATTTGGAAGAGATGGAAACCCGTGACGTTATACTCAGAGCAGTTTGTGACTCGAATTTATGCGTTTCAGTGGCAACACTATCAACGCCGAAATGAAACTGCAGCAGTCAGGTGATACAGGTCAGAGCTCTTTAAGTTATGTTCATTATTATTGTAATGTTATGTGCTTTGAGACATGAAGTCATTTTTATTTATTTATTCATATATTTGTTTAACATTAACAGAAATGCATTAATAACTGAAAGATTTACAAACAAAACTGAGCTTACATTCAATCGTCATGAGGTAGTTTAACGCCTTCTCTCATTCCGTGACGCTTTGCAGACTCTGCTGTACTCGTGTTTTGTAGGAGGCGTGGCTTTGGAGACGCTCTGAAGGGAGGGTGGGATCTCATGCTTTCAAAACTAGCCGGCTTTATACAGCTGCTCCGAAAATTGCCTACCCTACCTTTATTAGTAAAAAAAAATTAAATCATCTTTTGCATATGCCATTATGATCTTATTGTGTTTAAACAACATATCAGGCTCTATTTCGGATTCGGATTCTATTTTTGGATTCTTTATGAAACCTGAATAAACTCATAAGATCAATAAGCTATGTGATAAATTAACTTTATGTGTGTGCTATTTCATTAGCAGTGGTTATTAAAATATTAGCATGTATTAACTTAAATTACATGTAAATTATATGCTCGAGCTGGGTAATCTTTTAATCGTAAATGTAATATGTTGAATAGGCTATTTCTTAAAATCTGTTGTCATTTTTATCTCATCTGTGGTCTCTAAAATGATAAGTATAGTGCAGTCTAATCATCGTTTCCAAAAAATAAACATCAATAATGTGAAGATGTGTGTAGTTCTGCTCTCCATTCTCCCTCTCATAATAAGACATAAACAACAGTTTCCTGGCAATGAGTTTGATTATTATGAGTCAGAAAATTAGCAAATCACAGCCTGCGTCTGATTCACAGTGTTTTACTTATTTAATTCGCTACGAGATTTTAATGGATTAAACAAAGGAACATTTGTACTTCACAATTGTTATCTCAGTTGTTATTAACATTGAAATACTACTTGAATTCCTCAGGACAAGTGCTCTGGAAAAGTCCTAAATGTGGTATATCGTTAATCACTTCTCCGGGTGAACACTTGATGTCGCTGTTGGTTAAGGTGTGGAAACTGGAACATCATGGCGTTTGAGCAGATTAGAAATGTAGTGATGATGATCTGCAGGCCAAATGTGAATCCTCCTCGTCAGCTACAAATTATATAGTCATTCGTTTAAAAGAGAGCTTTGATGGCATTACCTCTCTTATTAACTCTTAGCAGCTTATTTTATGATTAGTCGTGCATAGTTTTCTTCAACACTCACTGTTTTAAAGGCATTTTAAAGGGATAGTTCACCCAAAAATGAATACTTTAACTTTTGGGTAAACTAACCCTTTAAGGCCCATTCGTACCAAGAACGATAACTACGATAAATATTTTAGCGTCCAGTCTGCAGTTTTGTCATTTACTCGAGCTCTGAAAGCAGGATGAACTCTGATTGGCTGTCAGTTCATCAGCTGGTAAAAATCGTTCTGAAAGTGATTCCAATGATATCGTTCCTCTGTCTTATCGTTATAGCTGGTGTGAACTCTATTCTTTTATGTTTAGAACGATTTTTAGAACTATATCTTTATCAATAGAGTTATCGTTTTTGGTGTGAACTGGCCTTTAACCAAGTTAAAACCCATGCAGCACTAAAATAAAAATAACAGCACAAATGTAGAACATAATCCACAGTACATTGGATACAGCAGCTTTAGTTTTTTTATGTGCTACAAAATAACAGTTCCTTTCTAGCAGGTCATAAAAATTTTTACCATTTACAACTAACTAAATGTATAGAATGAGGTACTTATGAGTTGTATGTTGTTCATGTTTTTTGTTGTATTCAGTAACAGCACGAGATTTTCTTGTCAAAGACCTTTCGGCAATATTACAAAAATATTAACAAAAAAACTGCACAAAAATAATCTAAAAGGTAAAATGCACAAAATTCATCCACAACAAGGTAATGTAAACTATTCAGAAAAAGCAAAATCCGATCATGGTTCCACTAACCAATAACACAGAATTCAGCTTACCGGTAATTACAATTGTAGTGCATTTCTCCAGTTTTGGTGAGCTTATTCTCTGTTATGACTGACAAATGCCTGGTGACAGTTATCAAATGTTAGATGAGAAAAGTGTGTGGCTCACATCTGTGCATGTACAATGTAAATAGACACATCTTCATCTTCTAAGTGGCTTTGACTCCAATCAATTTGTGTACCAATCAATGAAAATGTATATAGTAGATGAACATGGTTACTTAAGCACAGGAAGAGAGTAAGCTGTCAGTTAAAATGGGCAAAATGTATTATCAAACAACTTGTTACTTGTGGCTCTGGTCTGTGACTCATTGTGGTTCAAAATTTAAAGGTCCCCCTGTGCCAAGTGTTCAAGGGCATCGCCCTCACAGCACATGCAGTGATAGCCGAGGTCGGAGGTCACATCCCAGCAGCCCTGCTTTCGGTAGAAGTCAAGAGATGACTTGTTCCAGTTCAGCACATTGAAATTCAGCTGAGTGCAACCAGCAGCCAGACCAAGCTGAGGGTGATCATAAACACAAACATGTCAACTTGTGCACAGTTAACAAACAGTTTTCTAAATCACAACAGATTCAACACACATGCTGTATTTATCTAGTGTAAATAAACTCCCCATACCTGGGAAACTTTGGCCATCAGAGCCTTGCCAATGCTTTTCCCTGGAAATACGCACAGACATTCATTAATCAGTTTGTTACATTCACATAAACGAAAGCACGGTGTCGTTTCCTTACCTCTGAACTCTGGTATCACGTACAGATCCTCCATGAACACCGTCCGACCTTTCCATGAGCTGTACGAGTAGAAGTACAGTGAGTAACCAACCTTGGTATGACCTGTAAAGAGAATCATTTCTGTCAGCTTGATGGCTAAAATAAAAACACAAAACTCAGAAACACTGTGAGCTAGCTAACAATATCAAGTTGCAAAACATCACTACAATATCAGTAATGTGTTCCTTTATTGCTCTTTTTTTTCACATTAGTACATTTGACTTGGTACCTAATTTGTTTCCTATTCTAACTTGCAAATGTAAATGCAATTTAACTTAAAGGGGTCATGACATGGATTTCTTTTTATTATTTTAATATGTTCCTTGAAGTTCACTTATAATGTTAATAAAGTAAAAAGAAAAATACCATCATTTACAGATAAAGCATTATGAAATCATTTACTTAGTTTGATGCAGCTGCTGTCAGATTCAATACAGTTGCTGCTTCAACTTTCAACAAAAGTTTCCTTGTGATCTCTCCATTACACTGTCCCTACTTTTGTTAATCTGCAGTTAAATGCTCCGAACAAACATAATCCTCTGACGCGATCCAGGACGCCATTAAAATAAACTATACATTTGTTTCGACGCTGGGATCCTTCTGAAGTCTCTACAGAGACACAAACAAGCTGTTTAAACTGGACGTGTCAAAGCGTTCTTTCACACAACCATTTCTCGACAGACTCAAGTCGTGTGTGGAGTACATCAGAAACTGAACGCGCATCTGAATACTGTATCTAGTGTAGACAGCATCAGTGATTATAATGGTTTGCTTTTGACGTGATGCGATGCTCACATCCAATGTAAGCAAAGCTGTTAAGCGACTGAACGATAGTGGGCGGGGCCTAAGGTGCGATGATGTATACTATAGAGAGCCTAAGTCAATCCCCTTCCTGTCGACCACCATGGGACCTTATTTCGGAAAAATATTGCATGGTAGTCAATGGCAAGAGACAACAAATATTTTGATCTCGTTTGAATTGTGCCCTGAATTACACATATGATGTTTGTCAATTTAAAAGATACATTTTAAAGTCAAGAAAGTCGCAGTTTGATGTGAAACTGTTGAGGTTTAAGACGAAAATACGAAATTAAAAAGACTACAAACCCAAAAGGCGCACATTTTCTCTCAATGAATGAAGCTAACTTTACTGAAGCTAACTTTACTGAAGCTAACTTTACTGAAGCTAACGTCTGTCATTGTTTCTATAGTCTTACGTTATAATCGTAACGTTACGCCGTCACGCCTGAGTGTTTTGTACCAGACTGCACACACACGAGCAGCGGATCTCGCTCGTTGTTTCGCTTCCTGGGAGATGTAGTTCATTGAGCGATTTTCACATAAAACTAAATGTCACTCTTCTGTTTTATGACAAACTGCGACTTTCTTGACTTTCATAATTATATTTTAAATGGACAAACATCATATGTGTAATTCAGGGCACAGTTCAGACGGAGTAAAAAGATAAGTTGTCTCTCGCCATTGACTACCATACATATTTTTTCCAAAATAAGGTCCCATGAGCCGGAAGCGGAGGGGAGGGACTTAGGCTCTCTATTCATCGACATCGTGCTTTAGAGGCGGGCATATCAGGCCGTTCTTTTTCCTCACCATCTCTGGACTTAAGATGCTCTGGCACTTCAGCAATAATTCCATGGAAAAAAGGGTTTTTGGAGAATCCATCCTGCTCCAGATCTATAGTAAAAGTTGTATGATTGGTACCAGCTCCAAACAATCCACAGAATGAATTATTCCAAACAAATCATTGTATTTGTATTGGAGAGATATGACAATCATGCCTACCTCTTTGTGTAATCTTGATCTGGTCTGAAAGTTTCTCATACTCTGCCAGTTCCTAGTTAAAAGGATTCGACAAAACAAACAGTTTATGGCTTGATTTTGCTGGGCAAATTTTCACTATTCTGACATCAGCAAAGTGCATAATTATTTTATTCATTTATGTATTAATAATGAGATACATTTAATCCATAACGTGACACTGGCCTGCTTATTGTAGCGGACACGATATTATCTGATTTTCATCATCATTGATATGACGTCATTCAGATCCACCATTCAAAACACACAAAAGTCGCGGCTGACAGGTGAAGGCTACTGCACGTTCCCGAGCATTTCAAATGCCGCCCACTTCGTCGAGGACAGGAAAGTGTCAGATTACAGTGTGACAAATGAATATGGCTTACTGTAAAACAGCCATCAACAATGATGCCATTATACGCACGTTACACGTTAAACAACGGAGTTTGGAGGATAATGAAAGACTGCGCGGCAGATTAGTGTCCCAATTCTTTAAAGTAGTTCACTTTAAAAATGAAAATTACCCCGTGATTTACTCACCCTCAAGCCATCCTAGGTGTATATGACTTTCTTCTTTCAGATGAATACAATCAGAGTTATATTAATAAATGCTTCCAATCTTTATAATGGTGGTGCATTGCAACCATCAGTTTGAAGCTCAAAAAAGTTTATCCATTCATCATAAACGAACGCCATACGGCTCCGGGGGGTTAAGGCCTTCTGAAGCAAAGATATGAGTTTGTGTAAGAAAAATATTAATATTTAAAACTTTATAAAGTAAAATAACTAGCTTCCAGCCAAACGAACATATGGATTCCACTTAAGTAAAGCGCAACTTATGCGAATAATGCGACGTTACTGCTGATATTTACACTACACCACGATGCACTACGCTACTTCTGACGCGTCTTGTGCGATGTGGGCGTCGAGGAGAGTTGAAGTCAGGTCAACTTTATGGTAATGAGCTATGACTCGGTTCGGCGGCAACCAATCGGAATGTAGAAGTCCTCCACTTGAGAGGATTCTAGAGAACGCAGTCCTGTAAACTTTGGTTCCGACCTCATTAGTTCCCAAGCAAAATGGAGGAGAGGTTGATCAAATATGATAAGAATGCGCGCAACACTATTTATAGGCAACAATTTCATGCTAGAACGCTTGTTTTTCAGCAGGAATGCAATTCATTTGCTCAAAACAACACCGATTTGACCAATTGCATTAAGGCTACACTTCAACCAGGAAAGTTATTGTTATAGGCTGCACACAAATTAATGTTAATTAAAGACCAAGGCTAGTAAACATGTTGAATGTTGAAATTAGACTAGAACTTATGGCAGGAACACAAAAGCCACACCACACAAATGGCTTTTAATTGGTTTATTTCATTAGCAAACATGTAACTATAATTGTTAAGTTAATTCCGTCGATCAATTTCTTACTTTCACATTTAAAAGATTTCATGATGTTAACTTATACCCAACTTGTGGTCAATCTGCACAAATACCGATCAAGCATGTTTGCTTTGCGGCCCCTTTAAATAAAGTTTAAAAAAAAGACCAAGCATTCGATGTACGTCACAGCATCAGAGCGTCCGCGATTCTTTCTACACGTTGTCAGGGCAGCCAGAGCGATGCACTTTTTTGCACATAGGATGGCTTGAGGGTGAGTAAATCAAGGGGTAATTTTCATTTTAAAGTGAACTACTCCTTTAAGTTCTAAAATCGTCAGAAATAGACGCACGCGACGCGTCTTCAACTCACCAGAATCATCCGCGAGATATCCTTACAGTCCTCGAGCGTGGCGGCCCGGATTGTGAAGTCCATCCTGTGTTCAACAATAACACACTGAGCAACAAAATCTGACTGTCTGTCAAGTGTCAACGTGGAATACAGAGACAGATCGCATTTAGGTCACGCCCACACCTGGGGGAAAACCAATTGTCTCCATTGGCTTTGTATTGCGTGAAGCTGCATGCTTGTCTTTTCTTATTTATAACAAAAAAAAAAAAAAAAAAAAAAATGTCTAAAAGCTGATATGTGACGTTGTGTACAACAAACAATCTAACCCCTCCTCCCCCCCCAACCCCCCCCCCCCCCCCCCCAAAAAAAACAGAACTAAATTTTTATAAGCTACCGAACCATAAAAGCAAGGAGACAAAAGTGGATACAGGAAATAAGACGGAAGCATTAGCAGGAAGAATGGGTAAATTGTGGGATCCTGACACTCAGTATACATGCACTAAAAATACACTGTGTGTACAGTAAACATTTCGTCACTGTAAGTCAAATATCCAAATGTCAGTTTTATATATTATATTTCAAACATGTAAATATTCTAGTACATGTGTTATTTACACATCCAGAAGACTATGGGCACTCATGGACAGTGTTGCACACACATACTCACGCCAACAAGAAAGAACATTGAGGGAATTATTTTGGATAGTGTGAGTGCTGTAGTGTGTTAGCACTGCTAGCTATGCACATTTTAAGAACTTTTCTAAAGAAAAAACAAGAATGCAAAATTGAGGCCTATTATTTGCCTGATTGTTTCACAGTGTAATTCAAGTTGCTTTTGACAGAATTAGTCCGTGAGGCAAACCCCCAAATTTCAGAAGTTTGTCTCATAAGAGGGCACCAATGCTAGTCTTTTTTATTTAACAGAGGGATGTCCCTGGACCACAAAAATGCATGATAGCAATTCTTAGTGGGTAGCTTAAGGTAAAAAAATCACCAATTTTATGTTTGACCCCCCAAACATTTGGCAAATTCCATTTACGGTCGGTTATTTCTATAATTCATTATTTTTGGTACCAAAACATTCATACTTGGTGATATCTAGGTTGGAATTTTGTCGAAATTTTAACTTGTTTAAAAAATATTGTTATTGTGATTTTTTTTTTTTTGCAGAAAACATAGTGGTGTACAGCTTTAACTCATTGTTTTAAACTTAAGACCAGTCTGTAAATGCCTCCGTTTAACAGTAATGAATTTTGCAATGAGGGCGTGGCTATCGAACAAACGCTCTCTGGCTATTCAGCGACTCGAAAGCTTGTTTAGAGCGGGGACCAAGAGTCCCCACAGAACCTTTCTGAGGATGCTAGGCCTCATGGCCTCTGCTTCATAAGTACGTCCGCAAAGTATGCTACACATACTGCAGTACTGGCTAAAACCACAGGTTTCCCCCCAATCATGGTGCTAAAGCCATCTCTATATCAGGGTAAACCACGGCTGCACCAGAGCCCTGGTCGAAACCCAGTCTCTTGGAGTCAGGGGTGAGCTTGGACCAGCACGGAGGGACGGTTTCATATCAACTGCCTAGAATTGCTGGTGGTTTTAAAACCTTTCTACCACGTTTGTCAGGTCACCATGTCCTGGTCCACACGGTCAACACAACAGTAGTGTCCTATATAAACTGCCAGGGGGGGCTCAGGTTGAGACGACTGTACGAACTGGCCAGAAGTCTCCTCTTATGGGCAGAAAACAACCACGGAAACTGAACCAGGAAGCAGAAATGCTGTCCCGGGGCAATGTGTCCCCAGGGGAATGGACCCTCCATCCCCAAACAGTTCAAATTATCTGGAGTGTTTTCAGGAGGGCAGAGGTCAAATTCTTTGCCTCCAAAGACAACTCTCACTGCCCAATATTTTTCTCGAAAAGCAGGAATGCGCTGGCCCACGAATGGCCCAGCCTTCCCCTGTATGTCTTTCCTCCAGTCTTGCTCCTCCCTCAGGTCATAAACTCAGTCCTACTAGTGGCCCCTCTCTGGCGGACCCAACCTTGGTTCCCCGCGTTGATTCTGCTGCTATGGGCCCACAATGTGTAGCCCCTCGACGGGAGCTAGTGGAGCTCCCAGCGAGTGTCCTGAGCACAATCAATGAGGCTAGAGCTCAGTCCACAAAGACGCCTCTATGCTCTTAAGTGGTCTGTGTTCTCTGGCTGGTGCTCAGCAAGAAACCAGGACCCAAACCTATGTGAGGTGTCACTGATACTTTTCTCCAAACTCATTCAACCCTGTTTAAAGCACAAGTGATCACTCTCTCTGCTCTTCCCACATCGGAAGATGAGCAGCAATTACACCTACTCTGCCCGGTACAGACGCTCCGCTCAGTTCAAACAGTCAGAGCAGAATCAGTCAACAGAAGCTAGTTCAAACAGTCAGAGCAGCTCTTTATGAGCTTCAGGTGCTCGCACAGTGCTTGATCACAAAGCAAAGATTATGCCGATGGCTGCAGGATGCTATGGCTTTAGCATATGCCTCTATTTGCTTGCAATGCCCCATAGGCATCACAGCTCCCTCCACTAGAGGCATGGCCTCCTCCTGGGCATGGTCCAGTGGAGTATCTATTGGCGATATATGTATAGTGGCCGGCTGGTCCTCGCAGTCCATCTACGCCAGGTTTTATAACTTGGAAGTCCCTGCGCTGCAGGCACATAACCTTTCTGTGTGATGAAGTCAGCCTCAGTGAGCCAGGCCCATCATAATTAGGGCTTTTGCCCGTTCAACACGTCATGCCAAAAGGTCCTTGCTTCGGACCCTTATGCAAGCATCCTGACATCAGAAGATGTCGTTGCTCTTATCATAGCACAGCGTGATTGGGTTGGTTCCCCATAGCGTATAGCTACGCAATGCATATGACCGTTCGAAGGGAGATATATTGAACCATATTTGCACAAAATATTATTTTGTGTTAATATAATTCCAAAATTGTGTTATATTTTCCTTATTTTGTTGTATATTTTCTGTCCTAAAGAGCATATATATTTTATTTTATTTTTAATTTCACAGTGATATCTCATCATAAAAGAGAAGATCTAAAGCAATAGATATGTCAATATAACAGTTTATCAATGTTGAGATTTAGTTTGCATAATTAGAATTTTTCAGCACAATTAAATGTAAAATTGGTATTTTTCATACCTTAAGGCTTAAGCTACCTACATGGCACTGCTATCATGCATTTTTGTGGTCAGGGGGCATGCCTGTTTTGAAGAATAACCATTAGAATTGGTGCCCTTTTTGATACCAATTTTCTCCCCGGCTCACGGACTAAATTACCAGATTTTAACAGAATGATTATTTGTTTTATTACAGGCTCAAGGCCCACAGAAGACAATACTGAACACAGATCAATAAAAACATCACACATTCATATATGCACATTATATACAGCAACAACAGAAGAATAGAGCTAATGAAGGCACAAATACCAGTGATCCCATATTTTTGACATGTACCTCACAGAGCTACGACTTGGATCTACTATCTGAACAATAAGCTCATTCATGGATCGGTCCAGCCTGTTCATAAACTTGAAAGTTAGATTTCTCACCAAGGCCATGAAAGTAGTTAAACCCAGCCTACAGAACAGCTGGCTTGCCCTGGTACTTCTTGGTTTCTTCAAGAGAATCCTGAGACAGTCATTATAGGCTACTTTTAGCTTCAGCAGGCTCTCCTTCTTATATCTAACCCAGAGAGGAGCTGTGTAAAGAGGTGAGCAGTAAGTACGAAACAGGTTGATTTTGACATCTGTAGTGCAGTGATGGAATTTTCTAGCCAGCATGTTGGCTTGGACATATAGCACTCTCCTTTGTCTGCTCATATCAGCATCATCCTCCAGTGTATCTGTTAGGATGTGCCCCAGATATTTTGTGGTATTAGCTACTCCCAGCTCCTCTCCAGATAGATAGAAAGAAGGGAATTTAATGTTTAAATCATCTCTTGTGCTACATATCATAACCACACTTTTCTTTGCATTATATTCAATATCAAATTCTACCCCATAATCAGAACAGATATTAAGTAGCTGTTGGAACCCACTGCTGCTTGGCGATAGAATGACTAAGTCGTCTGCATACAAGAAATGATTAATCAACATTTCTCCAACCATACAGCCGGTTTGGCATGTCCCCAAGTGCCTGGACAGGTCATCCATGTAGGCATTAAATAAGGCTGGAGATAAAATCCCCCCCTGCCTTACCCCATTACTAACATAAAAAGATGTAGATAGAGTGTTCCCCCATTTAACCCGCACCCTTTGGTTAGAATACCAAAAGGCTAAGATTCGTACCAGGCTGCTGGGGACATCCCTGTGCATGAGTTTATTAAACAATTTAAAATGATTAATGCGGTCAAATGCCTTGGACGCATCAATAAAACCTAAAAGCATAGTAGTAGTAGAGCCCTGACTTCTATATGCCTCAACAACCTCTTTCAGTGCATAGATACATTGGTCAGTGCTATGTTTGGGCTTAAAGCCGAACTGATTATCAGTGGTGGATATACAGTCACTTATTTTGTCAAGAATTAAACTTTCAAGAACTTTTGAGATAATGCTGGCAAGGGCTATCGGTCTATAATTATCAATACTACCAACCTTACCAGCTTTGTCCTTGATTACTGGAACCAGAATGACTGACATCAGGGAATCAGGCAATATTCCATGGCACACCAGCCCAGAGAAACAAATAGACAGTAGCACTGCTAACCTGGGGCCAGCTAGCTTTAGGTGCTCAGATGTAATGTTATCCATGCCACAAGCTTTTCTGTCAGCAAGTTGCCCTATGGCCTTAACAACTTCGTTTGGATGAAAATAGATATATTTGTCCTCTATCACACCAACATCATAAGGCTCACTCTTTATACAGTTGAATAACGCTGAATAATGCTGCCTCCAGAGGTCAACAATGTCCTCTGGTGCAGTCACCCCCTCAATGTTACATGGGAGAGCGGTCTTAGTTCTATTAAGGGTTTTCACCTCATTCCAGAAATCAGTTATGTTATTTTTAAGCAAGTAGTCAGCCATTGAGGAAGCACTTAGCGCCTGCTCATGCTTAGTTATATACCGCAATGCATATTTATATTTGG